TCTTTTTTCTCCTGATAAATCATGTGTTTGCTTCACAAAAGCACCTGAGTGTTCATAGGATGTAACACACAGCTTCTGGAGTTTTCTAGCTCAGCTCTAATTTCTTTCCTAAAACAAGTTTTCCATTTTTTAAAGTTTCTGATATTTGTTGGGAATCCAACTGTTGCTTAGAATTTTGTGGTGGTTGTTGCTGCTACTTTATAAATGTAAGTTCTGTTGAGCTTCAGACAGATGACACATCCCCAGGCTCTGGCTGCATTATCCATCAGACACAATGCAGTTTGGTTTTTAATTTCTTCTCACAGCATATCCATTTCAGTCCTAAGAGACAACCAGAGGTGTAGAAATCTTTCATTTTAAACTTTTTGTTTTGTTTGGGGTTTTTTTGATGCAGAATTTTTAAAATATATTTAAGGAAAATAACCAGGTTCTTTTTAAATAGTATAACAACAGAATTATGCTTACTGGAATTCTCACCTCTCCTTTCATCTCAGCCAAGACATGATTACTACAGATGGCACAGTCAAACCTCTTAACTTTGCATGACTACAGAAAAGACATCTCTTTTCCTGAGCTCTGCATATGTGGAATGATAGCATGGGATCTTGAGATTGGTAGCGACCACTTGGGTCTTCCAGTTCATCTTCCTGTCAGTGCATGATTGTTCCTTATTATTCATTTTTCAGTGTCTTATCTGGTCTAGCTTCAAACGTGCCAGACACTGAACTACTGCCACTCGCCCAGGGAGACCATATCATAACACAATACATCTCTCTGTCAGAAGTTTGGCTGACACTTGAGACAAGTTTTCCTTTGTTTCACTGCATTACTCTCCCTTATACTTTCTACCTATAAATAATTCTTCCATCACTAAAACTCCTATTTTGTAGGTACTTCTAGACCTTCTTCACTGTTTGCCACCACCTAATCATTCTTTACTCAAACACACAGTGCACAATCTTAATTTTTCTCTGCAATTACATTTATTTAGGCTTGTAACTACTTTGTTGCTCTTCCCTGGGCTCTTTATCAGGAATAAGCTAAAAAACATAGAGAAAGATGTTTGAAATCAGAGGTGCTCTCAAATAACAATGCCTGGTTGGTGGAGTGCAGTAGAACTTAAAAAGCAATAAAAATTCAGATTAAGGGAGTTCTAAGGAGTTTATTTTTAATATAAAAAGACAGTGGGCTTCTTAATAGAAGACTTTGATTCAGAATTTCTTGGAAGTGTATTAGTTTAGACAAGCCCTTAAGTAAGAAAGATTTCCCGTGTTCAGTACAGAGTCTATGGTCAAATCAGAAAGATTTAACCACCCAGAAGCAGCCAAAAGCCAGTTTTCCACATTTAAAAGACTGCTTCTGATCATAACTCCACTCAAATAAGATATGACATTTACACTACTCCACCAAAAAATACATCTCTATCTTTTAATTGTATTTTTATTTACTTGATATAAATAAATATTCCTTAATCTGGCAGAGGGATATAACCCAGTCCTACACACTGTTCAGCTAAGGGGAGATTTGAATTAATTTCTCTGTTCTGAATCAAGTGGACCTACAGCCTGGACCCAAACATCAAATGAGTATCTTCACTAACCAGACTTGGCTAATCTAGGGCAAGATTTGGTAGGAAACAAAAAGATGCAAACTAACATCACTGAGACTGGGAGAGAGCTCCTGACACTCAGGGCTGGCTGTGTCTGGAGTTCGGTGACTAATGGCATGGGGAGACTTGGCTCCCAGAGCAGAAGTTAATAGATGATTGCTGTAAAGAGCCCATAGCACTGTTGTCTCCCCAAAAGCTGTTGGAATTAACATAAGATTTCAATACATTTTTGACAACAACATCAGCAAATTCTTTCTGAGGGCCTTTTATTATTAGATTAAGCTACCACAGGTCATGAGTATTTCCTTAAGAGAAAGCCTGCAATTAGCAAAAATAACTTAAATCCCTTGTTTGCTGTTCATTTTTAGCCAACCAAGGTGCAGAAATGGCAACATATGCTTTCAGAAACTAATTGCCAAAAACAACAAACCGAATGTTTAAGAACCCTCTATAAGTGCTTAGCAAATACTCTAAAATAATAAACCTTGAAAAGCCAGAAACAGATTGTGATGAGTTCCCTCCTCCCCCCAAAAATTGCTGAAACCTCTAATAATTCAGCAATGTCTACTCTGAATCCTATCGCTTGCAAAATTAGTGCACTTTCTAAACAACAGAGTATTTTTTCTTTGCTTTATTTTTCTTTTACCTTGCTGACTTCAATTCAGCTGTGATAGCCCACAGCATCATAGATACTTTAGCTACATTAGCTCACTCATGTACTGTCACACCCTATTAGCACCAGGCAGTGGAAAATAACCTCAGCATAATATGATGTAATACTACATAGTCCTGATGGATGTAATGCAAGCTGTCAAGAGAGTTGTAGCACTAGGCTTTAATGGGAAGATAGGAAGATCTACTTGTGAATGTCGTTAGTGAGGAGCATGCCTTAAATATTTCATAAGTTTATCCTTCAATAGTCTCCAAGAAACTAGACTGCATTGTCTATGTGAAACTTTTCATGGTCTTCATTCTTCCCATCTTGCATATTTCCCTTTGACCAAACCAAACACTTTTTTCCTACTTTCACTCACATCCATCATCTTCTCACAAGGAATTCCAGTCCAGAGTATGAAAGGTTCAAATGAGACACTTCCCTAAAATCCTCCATGAAGGGCACTAAACAACCATCTCTCATCAGGGAGGTTTGTAAGATGAGGCCCCAGCCACTGACATACGCCTACATCACCTGCAGCAAGCTACATATCAGAAAATTTAAAGAAAGCAATCCAAGGAGCAGCTTCTCTCTCCAAAGGGTTACTTTTAGTCCAATGAGGCTTCATTTGGTGTAAGGTACAACATAAGGAAAATGGCCAAGTGGCATGGGTTCAGCTGTAAGCTATCTTTCTCCTTCCTAGCTAGTGCAGTGCTGTGTTTTCAGCTTAATCTGGGAACAGTGCTGATAGCACACCAATGTTTTCAGTTGTTGCTAAGTCATGCTTACTCTGATCATTACTCCAACCACAGTGAAAGACACAGCAGCCACTCCAACCACAGTGACAGACACTGCAGCGGCACCAAAGGACCAATATTGGTTGCCCCTATAAGCAGGGGGAAAGCCAAACAAAAGCCACACAGAGCAACCTGTGCAATGAAGAAAGACAAAGACCCACACTCAAGGAACAGTATCTGAACAAGAGTTCCGATCAGAAATCAGACAAAGAGGAAGAAGTAAGTTCTTTATCCAGGACATCAACCAAGCTGTGGAATACGCAAAAAGATTTCAGCCACCTTCCAGGGGAGCACATCATCACCTGGTTGATCTGATGCTAGGACACGGTCACGAACAAGAAGGTACGGAAGCCAAGCAGCTTGAACAGAAGATAGGTGCTGGCATAATTATCAGCAGAAAATAAAGTCACGTAAAAGCCAGCAGCAGCAGCAGAACTGTCCTCAGGTCAGCATCAACTGACCCTGACTTCCCTCTGATCACCACCCCAACAAAGACTGACGTTTGGTGAAACCAGAAGAGCTCAGCAGCAACAAGATGATTTCCGCGGTGTCAGCAGCAGGAAATAACCCAACACTAAACACCATCTCTCCTGCCCTGGAACACTGTTACAAGAGATTGAGCCTAACATTGTGGACTGAATGAATTCAGCAAATATTATAAGGATGGTGCATGAACTAAGAAATGGTATCTCTTTGTGTGTGTGTGCATATATATATATGACACAAAAGCAACAATATACTGAAAAATGTGGGATCTGAGCATGATGTAAATGGTATGGAATAAGGAGTGGATATTGTGCTGTGTTCATCTGTAACAAGCACAAGCTGGTGGACTTTGTCATCTACTTCATGGAGAAGATCAACAAGAAAATCAGCAAGATGAATCTGTCAACACCAAGGCCTGCATGGTGGAGGAGGAATTCCTTGAGAACCTGAGGCTCTGGAATGGGAGAAGGCAGATCCCTCATATTGGGATTTTGGGAGCGGGGTGGGAGCCTCAAGCCAGCGTGCCCTTTGTGCCCAGAGCCCCCAGTCCCATCTGTGGGGACAGCGGTGCCATCGTGCCCAAGACCCTCTTGGGGACAGGGCAGGAGGGCACCCCAGGGTGCTTGAGCCCCCTGTGCTGGGGAAGGGCTGGGTTTGAGATGCCAAGAGCACGCTGAGGGGGGTGGCAGCAGCCACTGGGGCACACGGGCTCACAGCCGCCTCTCTTCTATTGGCTTGCAGTGCCTCGGGGCCCATGGAGCTCCCGGGACCCATGGGCGGGGGCACGGAACGCGCCGGGCAGTTGGAAGCCTCGCCCAGCTCCCCGCGGCGCGCCGTTACCAACGGCAGAGAGGGCGATCCCGACGGTGAGGGAGGACCTGTGGTGGGAGGAGCGGGAGGGGTGGCCTAAAAAAGGGGAATAAATGGGGTTGAACGGGGCCGGGGGGCACCAAAGGGGTTGGAGGGAGGCTCGGGATGCGGGTCACGAAATGGTTTGAGAGTTGGGGGGAGTCTCCATGTGAAAGGGTTCGAGAAATAGGGCTGGGAGATTGGGGGGTGAAACACATGACATGGGAGGGCTGGTCTTTGTCCACCTTCGGGTCAGTGTAGCCAGCGCGGTGGCCGGGGCTGGTGCAGGGGCTGGGAGTTCCATGCGCTGGGCCCCATCTCCGTGCTCACGGGGAGAGGGGATGCGCTTGTGCCTGGGGGATGAAAAGTCACACACGGCTTCCTTCACCCTCAGGCTTTTGCTGGAAGGAGTCAATCTCTCTTTGGTACAGACTTCCCCAGCCTGCCTGGGGGGGCGACTGCCAGACTAGGAGACGTTCCTGGTGTTACGGTTTATTTCAACAACAGTTCAAGTGAGGGCTTCGGGCCCTGTGAAGCACCTCTTGGGGTGCATAGAAGCCGGAATTCCGGCACTAAGTACTCTGACATGGCACACGCTGTGCAGGGTAGATCCGGCTCAGGCATGCAGCAGCAGAGAGGTGAGTGCGTTCACCCCCTGTCCTGCTCTCCCTGCCATGGGACTGGGGACACGGGGCCAGCAGCTCAGCCTGGCTTGTCCTTGGCAGGTCCTGCCAGCACCAAGCAGCAGCCCTCGGTCAACAAGGAGCTGCTGAGCAAGGCCAGACAGCATGTGAACGAGGCCATCAAGGTGGGACCCAATTACACACACACGCCACAACATGCCATGAACAAGTGTCTATTGGGTTTATGGCTGAGCGCTCATGTCCCTCCCCAGGAGAAGAAGATCTTCTCAGTGCAGGGCCCCTACCCTGTGATGCGCAAGCTGCTGAGGGCACGAGGCTGGGTGGAGAAGAAATTCTCCACCACCATCAAGGTGGGCACCCGCTCAGTGCATCAGGACACAAAAAAGCTGTTGGAGAGGAAGGTGGAGGATGGTGGTGGTGGTGAGGAGCAGTGGGAGACAGCGCTCCATCCAGAGCCAGGGTCGGAAGACTGCTGGACTCACTACTGGGTCAAGATCTTGGAGGAGGAGGAAGAGCAGGAGGAGGTCCAGTGGTATGCTGAGGACCCTGATGGCATCCATGACATCATGGTTAGTGGAGAGGGCCAGGGCTGGACTCCACAGGGTACAGCCTGGGCTGGGCAGTGAGGGTGGGAAGAGGACTCCTCAGCTCACTCTGGTCCCCTCTGTCCCTCCCGTAGTCCTCCATGGTGCGAGACCACCTGCCGACATTCATCTGGACAAGCAGGTGCAGTGCTGTACGCTACTGGCAGCTACAGGAGCACCAAATGGTAAACCACTTCACTGGCACTGGAGCCTTCACCACCAAGGTGAGAGTTTGGAGACGCCGAGGATGCAGTGCAGGGGCTGAACAGGGGTGGCGGTAGGTCCAGCACTGACTGCCACCCTTGTCCATCTACACAGGAGGGGCTGTGTGTCAACCTCCAAAAACTGCCCTCATTCTACCAAGCGGATCCCACCACCTTCTTCCCAAGGTGCTACCGGCTTGGGGATGAGGATGAACGTCAAGCCTTCATCGGTGAGCTGGGGCTGTTCCCCTTCTGCCCCCCTGCCACATCCCTTGTCCCCCCGTGTCCTGGGCAGGACGGGCTGAGAACAACTCAAATCCTTTGCAGAGGATTTCCGCCTGACAGCAGCTCGCAGCCTGCTCAAACTGGCTGTGGAGAGGCCTGGGATCATGCCAGGGGTGATGGAGTCACCTGGCAACAGATCAGGTGAGACTGTGGAGATGGGCCTGGTGGGGATGATGAGGAGCTCAGGGCCATGGCTGTGGACTGAGCCTCTGTTCGGGGCTGTGGCTTGGGACCGTGATGCACCCAAAGCCACGCATCTCAAGGGTAGCCAGCAGCCATGCCCCTCAGTTCATGCTGCTCCCAGCAGGTCCAGCATCCCCATCACCCCATGAGCTGCTGGAGAAAGCACTGCAGGTCTGCAGGATGCAGCTGGACAGGCTGGAGCACGCAGACATTGACAGTGGCTCCCCAGTACTCCATTTCACCGACGTCAACTGGGACTGCTTCCTGCATGAGTACTATCGTGTGGTGAAGTGCGTGTGGGGCGGGATGTGTTGGAGGGGCATGCAGCATGGCAGTGCTGGTGCTGAGCCTCCCATGTCACCACCCTACAGCGAGCAGGTGAGGCTGGAGTCCAACATCCATCAGCAGGAAGAGTGCAGGGCCCTGCTGCAGAAGCTGCAGGTGCGGCTGCCCCAGCTCCACATGGAGGGCGTTCACAATCTGTGGATAATCAAGCCTGGAGATATGTCCCGTGGTAGAGGTGAAGGCAAGGGGAAAATGGGGTTTGAGCACAGGCTTCCTGGCGAAGAGGGGTCTCATCAGCACCGTGTGTCTCCTCTTACAGGCATTACATGCTCAGCACGGCTGGAGGAGGTGCTGGAGCTGCCTGGGAAACACCCAGCGCCCTCACTGAAGCCAAGACAATGGGTAGCACAGAAATATGTGGAGCGGCCGCTGCTCATCTTTGGCACCAAGATTGACCTGCGGCAATGGATCCTGGTGACTGACTGGAACCCACTGACCATATGGTTCTACCGGGACAGCTATGTGCGCTTCTGCTCCCAGCCCTTCTCTCTGCACCACCTGCACGCGTGAGTGCCCCTCACCCTAGCGCTGCACACCCCACACCCCAGCACCCTGCTGACCCATCTCTGCTCTCCCCACACCAGCTCCCGCCACCTCTGCAATGTGTCTGTCCAGAAGCAGTGGAGGCACGCTGGAGACCGTCACCCCAAACTGCCCTGTGACTTGATATGGTCCAGCCACCAGTTCCAGCTTCACCTGCAGCAAGTGGGGCACAGGGAGGCCTGGGAGAACATGATTGTGCCAGGCATGAAGGAGGCGGTGGTGGCTGCCCTGCACAGCGGCCGGGAGCTGGTGAGGGACCGCAAGGGCAGCTTTGAGCTCTATGGAGCCGATTTCATGTTCGGAGAGGACTGCCAGCCGTGGCTGCTAGAGATCAACGTCAGTCCCACCATGGCGCCCTGCTCAGCAGTGACCCGACAGCTCTGTGCTGCCGTCCAGCGTGACATACTGTGTGTGATCCTGGACCACAGGGAGAACCCCGGCTGCTCCACCGGAGCCTTTGAACTCATCTACAAAGAGGTGGGTTTGGGGGGGCTTTGGGATAGACTGCTCTCTGCTCTCAAGCAACAAGCAGTAGAGCAACAAAAAAACCCCCAGCTTCAGACTACACAAGGGAAGGTTTAGACTGGGCATTAGGAACAATTACTTCCCCCAAAGGGGTGGTCAAGCACTGTAAAAGGCTGTCCAGGGAAGAAGGGTGTCACAGTCCATGGAGGGGTTCAAAACCTGTGTAGACGACGCCCTTAATAGCATGAATTAGGGAGGGCATTGGCAGTGCTGGGGAACAGTTGCAGTTGATGATCTTAACCTCTTTTCCAATGCTGTTGTTTCAATGTCTTCTGCAGCCAATCGTCCCCGTGCCTCCCTCCCTTGGACTGAAGTTGGTGGTGGAAGGCTACTCGCTCACAAAGCCCCAACTGCAAAAACAACAGCCCCAGGACAAACTCCCCACCATCCTGCCTCCTGTCCGCCCCAGGGTGCCCAAGCCTCCAGTGGGCTCCAGACTAGTTATGAACACCAAATCACCTGTGATGCCCAAGCCACTTGTGGTACCCAGGCCTCTTCCGCTGGCCAAACCACGTATGGACAAGCATCCTATGATCACAAAGCCCCTTAGAGAGCCCAGGCCTCCTGCACGGCTCAGGCCTCCAGCAATCTCTAAACCACTTATGGGCACCAAGTTACCTCCGCTGCCCAGGCCTCCAGTGGTCTCCGACCCAGCTACAGACAGCAAGCCTACTGTTGTGCCGCAGCCTCCAGAGGTGCCTAAGTCACTCATGATAACCAAGTATCCTACGTTCACCAAGCCCCTGGTAAGAGCCCAAGACTCCAGTGGTGCCCATTCCTCCACTGATACCTAAGCCACTCATGGGCACCACACATCCTATAGTCAACAAGCCCTCAGTAGAGTCCAAGCTTCGTGGGGATCTAAACCACTTATGGGCACCATGTGTTCTATGGTCACCAATCCCCCTACAGAGCCTAGGCCTCCTGTGATACCCAAGTGGGGCAGAACCACTCAGCTCCCAGGGGCTGAAGAAGCACAGGTCAAGGCAGCTCCTCTGACCCAACAGCGATTGTGTTTCTCCAGCTCTGTCCTGCAGGCACCTCCACAGCCAAAAGCCCTGCTCCAGTGGGTTCAGGCCACTCTGAGCAAGCCTCGGGCTACTGTCCTGACCAGGGCACCCACTCAACCAGATGCAGTCCCACTAACAGCCCTGACTGCTGTCCTGGGCAGCAGAGCCTTGTTGCTGGCAGCGGACATGAAGCAGCGCCCAGGAGCAGGTAGAAAAGCTGCCACAATTAAGGCTATGAAGAAGGGAACAGCATTCTGCCCACCCTAAATGGGACAACACGACAGCAACCACTTCCCCCTACCTCAATCAGAACCCACCATCGCTCAGGAACACACATCCCACCAGCCAGGGGGGTGAATCGAGCCAATTTGCAGAGGTGAAAGTCAGCCAGCTGGCCTGACACACTGCTGAATGAGAAAAGTGGACAGTACTTTATAGTGACTAACAGATGACAGCAAATGCCCTGCGGGGTGGTTGCAGCAATGGAAGCAGAGCAACTGGAAATACAGACATAAACCCATCTGGGCTGCTCCCCTGTGGCAAGATACCACTGCTCGGGTGCAGAAACTGGTGGTGAAGGTACGCCATGTAGATGCTCATGTACCCATGAGTCGGGCCACTGAGGAACACCTGAACATCCAAAAAGTGGATAAAGATGCTAAGATTTATGTGGCTCTGATGGACTTACATTGGCAACATAATGGTAAATTATTTTTAGGTATGGACCCATGACGTCTCAGCCCATCAAGTGGAGATGCAACATACAGATGAGCTTGTGATCGAGGAGCGGACTTAACAATGAACACGACTGCCCAGGTCATTCATGACTCTGAAACATGTGCTGCAATTAAGCAAGCCAAGCAGTTAAAGCCTCTTCAGTATGCAGGACAACAGATGAAGTTCAAATACGGGAAGGCTGGGCAGACTGACTATCACACTCCCACTGACCTGCCAACACAAGCACATGTGCTTACAACCACCGGATGGCTGGAAACATATGCTGTGCCCCACACCACTGCCCACAACACTACCCTGAGCCTTGAGAAACAGATTTTGTGGTGACACGGTACCCCAGAATGAACCAAGTCAGACAGTGGGACTCATTTCCAGAACCACCTTCTAGACACTTGTGCCAAAGAGCATGGCATTGAGTGGGCATATCACATCCCCTGCCATGCACCAGCCTCTGGGAAAATCAAACGGTAGAATGCGCTCTTAAGAACTACACTGAGAGCAATGGGTGGTGGGACTTTCAAGCATCGTGATACACATCTAACAAAAGCCACCGGGTTGGTCAGCACTGGAAGATCTGCCAACAGGGCTGGTCCACCCCAGTCAGAACTTACATACTGTAGAGGGGGATAAAGGTCCTGTGGTACACATAAAGATTTTGATGGGGAAGACAGTCTGCGTTATTCCTGGGATTGCTTTTGCTCAGGGACCCAGATATACTTGGTGGGTAATGCAGGAAGATGGAGAAGTCCACTGTGTATCTCAAGGGGACTGAATTTAATGTGGGGGGAAAACAGCCAATGAACGCTAATATATGCTGGCACCTGCTGTATAACACTGTTACAGCCCGTCAGCTAGATGCCCATCTCCACCACTCTAGACTTTAAAAAGAAGATATGTACTCTCATGATCATCATCAGAATACAAAGTCATAGGAAAAGCCAGCAGCAGCAGCAGAACTGTCCTCAGGTCACCACTCACTGACCCTGACTTTCCTCCGATTATGACCCCAACAAAGAATGACTACATCTCTGCGCTGCCGTCCTGCGTGACATACTGTGTGTGATCCTGGACCACAGGGAGAACCCCGGCTGCTCCACCGGAGCCTTTGAACTCATCTACAAAGAGGTGGGTTTGGGAGGGCTGTGGGATAGACTGCTCTCTGCTCTCAAGCAACAAACAGTAGAGCAACAAAAAAAACCCAGCTTCAAGCTACACAAGGGGAGGTTTAGACTGGGTATTAAAAACAATTACTTCCCCCAGAGCGGTGGTCAAGCATTGGAAAAGGCTGCCCAGGGAAGAAGGGTGTCACAGCCCACGGAGAGGTTCAAAATCTGCGCAGACGAAACCCTTACTAGCATGAGTTAGGGGTGGCCTTGGCAGTGCTGGAGAACATTTGGACTTGATGATCTTAAGCTGTTTTCCAACCCAGTTGTTTCTATGTCTCCTGCAGCCAATCATGCCCGCGCCTCCCTCCCTGGGACTGAAGCTGGTAGTGGAAAGCTACTGTCTAATGAAGCCCCCAACTGCAAGAACAACCACCCCAGGACAAACTTCCCACCATCCTGCCTCTTGTCTGCCCGGTGGTGCCCAAGCCTCCAGTGGGCTCCAAACCACTTATGAACACCAAATCACCTGTGATGCCCAAACCACCCGTGGTATGCAGGCCTTCTCTGTTGGCCAAACTACTTATGGACAAGCATCCCATGGTCATGGATCCAAGCCTCCTGCAGGGCCCAGTCCTCCAGAAATCTCCAAACCACTTATGGACACCATGTGACCTATGGTCACCAATCCCCCTACAGAGCCCAGGCCTCCTGTGATACCCAAGTGGGGCAGAGCCACTCAGCTCACAGGGGCTGGAGAAGCACAGGTCAAGGCAGCTCCTCTGACCCAACTGCGATTGTGTTTCTCCAGCTCTGTCCTGCAGGCACCTCCACAGCCAAAAGCCCTGCTCCAGTGGGTTCAGGCCACTCTGAGCAAGCCTGGGGCTACTGTCCTGACCAGGGCACCCACTCAACCAGATGCAGTCCCACTAACAGCCCTGACTGCTGTCCTGGGCAGCAGAGCCTTGTTGCTGGCAGCGGACATGAAGCAGCGCCCAGGAGCAGGCAGAAAAGCTGCGATAAGGCCACGAATAAGGGAACAGCATTCTGCCCACCCTAAGTGGGACAACTCAATGGCAACCACTTCCCCCTACCTCAACCAGAACCCACCATAGCGTAGGAACACACATCCCACCAACCAAGGGGGTGAATCGAGCCAGTTTGCAGAGGTGAAAGTCAGCCAGCTGGCCTGACACACTGCTGAACGAGGAAGGGGGACAGTACTTCATACTGACTCTGGGATGGTGTTCAAATGCCCTTCGGGGGTGGGTGCAGCAATAAGAAACAAGAAAATCAGCAAGATGAATCTGTCTGCCAACAGCAGGGCCCGCATCGTGGGGGAAGAATTCCTTAAGAACCGGAGGCTCAGGAAGGGGAGGAGGCCGATCCCTCATGTCCTCGACAGAGAACGCCTTCAGCACCGGCGCGGGGGGAAGCTCAGCGTCCAGGAGCCTCAATTCAGAGCGGCGAGAGCCCCCTGAGGAAGCCTCCAGCCCTCGACAGGCCCTGCCCAGGAGCCTGCAGCTCAGCTCAGCTCACGGGAGCAGGGACTCCACAGGCGGCGGCGGCAGCGCCAGGACAGACGGCACCAGGCCTGAGGGGTTGAAAGCCCGCGCCAGGGAGCGCGGCAAAGAGGGCGTGGCGAGGCAGTTTGCGCGGGCAGGCGAGGGGGATGCTGAGCACGGCCAGTATGAGCCGGGCGCGGGCTGGGAGCTGTGTTCTGGCTGTCCCAGCGTAGGCACCCAGGCAGAGCTGGTGAGAGGGGAGGCTGCAGTGCAGAGCTCGGGGTGTAGAGAGTGCCTGCTCCCCGCTACTGGGGAGGGGAGCGTGCACGACGGGCGGGGCTGCACTCGGTGCTCCCTGCTGCAAGTCCTCGTGCAGGAGGGGCTGAGCTGGGGGGGCTCTCAAGAGGCTGAAAGATGCCAGGGAAGCTGGGAGGAAGCAGGACTGCTTGCTCCAGGCCCAAACTGTGCAGGGGCCTCAAGCATCCACTGTGGCTCACGGAGGAAAGAAGGAGGCTGTTAACACAGGAAGCTGGGAAACAGCAACAAAAAGAAGCAACACAAAAAGAAGGAGAATTAAAAGCAAGGGGCTTCCTCCTAAATCTGATGTCCCCGCCCAGACAAGCTTTGCTGTCCTGCAGGGAGCTAATGAGGAAACACACTTGCACCAGGAACAAGCCGGCTGGTGCACTGGTGAAGAAGATCTCTACTGGCGCTACCAGGAAAAAGCAGTGGAGCGTAGTAGTAGGGGACTCTGCTTTGAAAGGGCCAGAGGCACCCATCTGTCGGCCTGACCCAGTCTCAAGGGAGGTGTGTCCAGATGGGACTGGGGACACGGGGCCAGCAGCTCAGCCTGGCTTGTCCTTGGCAGCTCCTGCCAGCACCAAGCAGCAGCTCTCAGTCAACAAGGAGCTGCTGAAGAGGGCCAGACAGCTGAACGAGGCCATCAAGGTGAGGCCCGATTACACACACACACACGCCACAACATGCCATGAACAAGCCTCTGTTGGATTTATGGGTGAGCGCTAGTGTCTCTCCTTGGGAGAAGAAGATCTTCTCAGTAGAGGGCCCCTACCCTGTCAACACCAGGGCCCACATGGTGGAGGAGGAATTCCTTGAGAACCTGAGGCTCTGGAATGGGAGAAGGCAGATCCCTCATGTTGGGATTTTGGGAGCGGGGTGGGGGCCTCGAGCCAGCGTGCCCTTTGTGCCCAGAGCCCCCAGTCCCATCTGTGGGGACAGCGGTGCCATCGTGCCCAAGACCCTCTTGGGGACAGGGCAGGAGGGCACCCCAGGGTGCTTGAGCCCCCTGTGCTGGGGAAGGGCTGGGTTTGAGATGCCAAGAGCACGCTGAGGGGGGTGGCAGCAGCCACTGGGGCACAAGGGCTCACAGCCGCCTCTCTTCTATTGGCTTACAGTGCCTCGAGGCCCATGGAGGGTCCGGCAGTTGGAAGCCTCGCTGGGCTCCTCCTGACAACCTGTGACACTGGAGGGCTGGTGTTTGTCCACCTTCAGGACAGTGTAGCCAGCGCGGTGGCTGGGGCTGGTGCAGGGGCTGGGGAGTTCCATGCGCTGGGCCCCACCTCCATGCCCACGGGGAGAGGGGATGCGATTGTACCTGGGGGATGAAAAGTCACACACAACTTCCTTCACCCTCAGACTTTTACTGGAAGGAGTCAATCTCTCTTTGGCACAGACTCCCACAGCCTGCCTGGGGAGAGGTTCCTCGTGTACTGAAGATTTCAACAACAGTTCAAGTCAGGGCTTCAGGCCCTGTGAAGCACCTCTCGGAGTGCAAAGTAGCAGGAATTCCGGCACAAAGTTCTCTGACATGGCACACGCTGTGCAGGATAGATCCAGCTCAGGCATGCAGCAGCAGAGAGGTGAGTGCCTTCACCCCCTGTCCTGCTCTCCCTGCCATGGGACTGGGGACACAGGGCCAGCAGCTCAGCCTGGCTTGTCCTTGGCAGGTCCTGCCAGCACCAAGCAGCTGCCACCAAGCAGTCAACAAGGAGCTGCTGAGCAAGGCCAGACAGCATGTGAACAAGGCCATCAAGGTGGGACCCAATTACACACACACGCCACAACATGCCATGAACAAGTGTCTATTGGGTTTATGGCTGAGCGCTCGTGTCCCTCCCCAGGAGAAGAAGATCTTCTCAGTGCAGGGCCCCTATCCTGTGATGCGCAAGCTGCTGAGGGCACGAGGCTAGCTGGAGAAGTAGTTCACCACCACCATCAAGGTGGGTACCCGCTCAGTGCAGCAGGACACCAAAAAGCTGTTGGAGAGGGTTAGGGGAGGGTGGTGGTGGTGGTGAGGAGAAGTGGGAGACAGCGCTCCATCCAGAGCCAGGGTCGGAAGACTGCTGGACTCACTACTGGGTCAAGATCTTGGAGAAGGAGGCAGAGCAGGAGGAGGTCCAGTGGTATGCTGAGGACCCTGATGGCATCCATGACATCATGGTTAGTGGAGAGGGCCAGGGCTGGACTCCACAGGGTACAGCCTGGGCTGGGCAGTGAGGGTGGGATGGAGACTCCTCAGCTCACTCTGGTCCCCTCTGTCCCTCCCATAATCCTCCATGCTGCAAGACCACCTGCCGACATGGGCGGGGGCACGGAACGCTACAGGAGCACCAAATGGTAAAGCACTTCCCCAGCACTGGAGCCTTCACCACCAAGGTGAGAGTTTGGAGATGCCGAGGATGCAGTGCAGGGGGTGAACAGGGGTGGCGGTAGGTCCAGCACTGACTGCCACCCTTGTCCATCTACACAGGAGGGGCTGTGTGTCAACCTCCAAAACCTGTCCTCATTCTACCAAATGGATCCCACCACCTTCTTCCTAAGGTGCTACCGGCTTGGGGATGAGGATGAACGTCAAGCCTTCATCGGTGAGCTGGGGCTGCTGCCCTTCTGCCCCCCTGCCATGTCCCATGTCCCTGTGTGTCCTGGGCAGGATGGGGTGAGGACAACTCAAATCCTTTGCAGAGGATTTCCGCCTGACAGCAGATCACAGCCTGCTCAGACTGGCTATGGAGAAGCCTGGGATCATGCCAGGGGTGATGGAGGCACCTGGCAACAGGTCAGATGAGTGTGTGGAGATGGGCCTGGTGGGGATGATGAAGAGCTAAGAGCCATGGCTGTGGACTGAGCCTCTGCTCGGGGCTGTGGCTTGGGACCGTGATGCACCCAAAGCCACGCATCCCAAGGGTAGCCAGCAGCCATGCCTCTCAGTTCATGCTGCTCCCTGCAGGTCCAGAATACCTAGTGCAGGGCCCTGCTGCAGAAGCTGCAGGTGCGGCTGCCCCAGCTCCACATGGAGGGCTTTCACAATCTGTGGATAATCAAGCCTGGAGCTATGTCCCGTGGTAGAGGTGAAGCCAAGGGGAAAATGGGGTTTGGGCACAGGTTTTCTGGCAAAGAGGGGTCTCATCAGCACTGTGTGTCCCCTCTTAACAGGCATCACCTGCTCAGCACGGCTGGAGGAGGTGCTGGAGCTGCCTGGGAAACACCCAGCACCCTCACTGAAGCCAAGACAATGGGTAGCACAGAAATATGTGGAGCGGCCGCTGCTCATCTTTGGCACCAAGATTGACCTGCGGCAATGGATCCTGGTGACTGACTGGAACCCACTGACCATATGGTTCTACCGGGACAGCTATGTGCGCTTCTGCTCCCAGCCCTCCTCACTGCACCACCTGCATGCGTGAGTGCCCCTCACCCTAGCACTGCACACCCCACACCCCAGCACCCTGCTGACCCATCTCTGCTCTCCCCACACCAGCTCCCGCCACCTCTGCAATGTGTCTGTCCAGAAGCAGTGGAGGCACGCTGGAGGCCGTCACCCCAAACTGCCCTGTGACTTGATATGGTCCAGCCACCAGTTCCAGCTTCACCTGCAGCAAGTGGGGCACAGGGAGGCCTGGGAGAACGTGATTGTGCCAGGCATGAAGGAGGCGGTGGTGGCTGCCCTGCACAGCGGCCGGGAGCTGGTGAGGGACCGCAAGGGCAGCTTTGAGCTCTATGGAGCCGATTTCATGTTCGGAGAGGACTGCCAGCCGTGGCTGCTAGAGATCATCGTCAGTCCCACCATGGCGCCCTGCTCAGCAGTGACCCGACAGCTCTGCGCTGCCGTCCAGCGTAACATCCTGCGTGTGCTCCCGGACCACAGGGAGAACCCCGGCTGCTCCACCGGAGCCTTTGAACTCATCTACAAAGAGGTGGGTTTGGGAGGGCTGTGGGATAGACTGCTCTCTGCTCTCAAGCAACAAGCAGTAGAGCAACAAAAAAAAACCCAGCTTCAGACTACACAAGGGAAGGTTTAGACTGGGCATTAGGAACAATTACTTCCCTCAAAAGGGTGGTCAAGCATTGGAAAAGGCTGCCCAGGGAAGAAGGGTGTCACAGTCCATGGAGCGGTTCAGAACTTGTGTAGGCGAGGCCCCTAATAGCATGAGTTAGTGGTGGCCTTGGCAGTGCTGTAGAACATTTGGACTTGATGATCTTAAGCTCTTTTCCAACCCAGTTGTTTCTATGTCTCCCTCCCTTGGACTGAAGCTGGTGGTGGAAAGCTACTCTCTAATGAAGCCCCAACTGCAAAAACAACCACCCCAGGACAAACTCCCCACCATCCTGCCTCTTGTCTGCCTGGTGGTGCCCAAGCGTCCAGTGGGCTCTAAACCACTTATGAACACCAAATCACCTGTGATGCCCAAGCCACCTGTGGTACCCAGGCCTCCTCTGGTGGACAAGCATCCCATGGTCACAAAGCCCCTTCCAGAGCCTAAGCCTCCTGCAGGGCTCAGGCCTCCAGAAATCTCCAAACTACTTATGGGCACCAAGTTACCTCCGCTGCCCAGGCCTTCAGTGGTCTCCAGCCCACTTACGGACTGTAAGCCTACAGTGGTGCCTAAGGCACTCGTGATCACCAAGTGTCCTACATTCACCAAGCCCCTGGTAAGAGCTCAGACCTCCACTGATACCTAAGCCACTCGTGGGCACCACACATCCTATAGTCAACAAGCCCTTGGTAGAGCACAAGCCTCCTGTGGAACCTAAACCACTTATGGGCACCATGTGTTCTATGGTCACCAATCCCCCTACAGAGCCCAGGCCTCCTGTGATACCCAAGTGGGGCAGAACCACTCAGCTCCCAGGGGCTGGAGAAGCACAGGTCAAGGCAGCTCCTCTGACCCAACTGCGCTTGCGCTTCTCCAGCTCTGCCCTGCAGGCACCTCCACAGCCAAAAGCCCTGCTCCAGTGGGTTCAGGCCACTCTGAGCAAGCCTGGGGCTACTGTCCTGACCAGGGCCCCCACTCAACCAGCTGCAGTCCCACTAACACATCCCCTACCATGCACCAGCTTCTGGTTAAATCAAATATTACAATGCGCTCTTAAAAACTACACTGAGAGCAATGGGTGGTGGGAGTTTCAAGCATCGTGATACACATCTAACAAAAGCCACCGGGTTGGTCAGCACTGGAAGATCTGCCAACAGGGCTGGCCCACCCCAGTCAGAACTTACATACTGTAGAGAGGGATAAAGGTCCTGTGGTATACATAAAGAATTTGCTGGGGAAGTCGGTGTGTTATTCCTGCTTCAGCTAAAGGCAAACCCACTCCTGGGATTGGTTTTGCTCAGGGACTCGGATATACTCGGTGGGTAATGCAGGAAGATGGAGAAGTCCACTGTGTATCTCAAGCGGACTGAATTTAATGTGGGGGGAAAACAGCCAATGAACTCTTATCATATGCTGATGCCTGCTGTATAACACTGTTACAGCCCGTCAGCTAGATGCCCATCTCCACCACTCTAGACTTTAAAAAGAAGATATGTACTCTCATGATCATCATCAGAATACAAAGTCATAGGAAAAGCCAGCAGCAGCAGCAGAACTGTCCTCAGGTCACCACTCACTGACCCTGACTTTCCTCCCATCATCACCCCAACAAAGAATGAACTTTGACAAAACCAGGCGAGCTCAACAAGTGACCAGATGATCTTAGTAGCGTCATCAGGAGGCAACAGCCCACCCAGCACTACATGCCATCTGTCCTGGTACAAGAGGAAGACCCTAACATCCTGGACTGAATGAATTCAGCAAATTTTATAGGGATTGGTCCATGGGCAATAGAATGATATCTCTCTCTTTTTGTGTGTGATGTGTGTATAGGTATGTGTGTGTCTCTGTATATATATGAGACAAAAAGCAAGGGTATATTGAAAAATGTGAGATCTGAGCATGACATGAATGGTATGGAATAAAGGTTGGATGCTGTCCTGTGATCAGTAGTAGCAGTCATTTTTCACTGTAGTAGTTGGTGCAGTGCTTTGTTTTCAGGTTTAGTTTAGGAACAGTGCTGATAGCACAGCAATGTTTTTAATTGTTGCTAAGTAATGTTTACTCCTATCAAGGACTTTCTCAGTCTCACGCTCTGCCAGGGAGGAGGGGAAGTCAGGAAGAAGCAGAGACAGGACACCTGACCCAAACTTGCAAACGGGATATTCTATACCACAGCACATCATGCCCAGTATAGAAACGGGGCGAGTTACCCAGAAGGCCTAGATCACTGCTCGGTCAGGCTGGGGATCAGTTCGTGAGTGCTAAGTAATAGTCTCTGGCCTTGTTATTTTCCCTTATCATTATTATTATTATTATTGGTGGCAGCAGTAGTAGTTTTGTGTTTTACCTTAGTAACTGGCCTGGTCATATATCAAGCCTTGGAATTTACATTCTTTCTCCTTTGGGCGCAGGGAGAACAAAAGTTGGGGAGTGAATGAGCAGCTGTGTGGTTCCGAGTTACCGGCTGGGCTTAGACCATGGCACCAAGTCTCTCTGCTTCCTAATGTGAGCCCTTATGTTGTGTTGATCACCTGTGGAAAGGTTTGCTTATCCCATAGTGAGGAAATATGAGTGTAGCCACAGAAAAGGGAGGAAGATGTTTTATTAAACTGGAGACTGCTCTAAACTTACCAAGACCTTGAGAGCAGAGCCTGTGATGGTCAGCTAACAAGACAAGCAGTTACCAAGACTCATATAGTTGGAAGTTACACACCGTTTTTCAGGGTAACCAAGTCAAAAGCAACTTGTCTGACTAGCAACACTGATCAGACCAAAAGGGAGAAGGTAGTTGGGTAACTGAGGATTAGGTGCAACAGGTTAGCATGGGAAGAGATGTTTCTGACTGAAAGGGAGTGATTGGTAATTTATCATCTATGGAACATGGAGAGATTAGTGACGCAGAAGAGAGAAATCATAACTGATGGGTGTTGGGCTCCCTTCTAACTATTTTGGCTTTTATGCAGAAGTTCCATCCTGTTACTTCACCATGTTCTTGTTCTTCCCAACCACACTAAAAGATTCATTCATATAACAAAGAAATGAACATAAAATAGAAATAGCCAACACTCCAGCTAATGACAACATGCTGACTGGTACCTACTCTTACCATACACAACCAGAGTTTTATATAAAATAGCTCTCACATCATTGATGAAGGAGATAGGAACTGAAATGTGACCTTTTTTAGGTCTTGTTTTCTCCTTTCATAACCCAGTTGCTGCAATCACATGTTATCTGGTGAAAGCAGCAGCTTTGTCAGAATGATGCTACATGTTCATTTTTCCAGTATATCACCCCACCTCCCCACTTTGGCCAGAATAAAGGTTGTCAACGGTTGAACTATACAGCAGAGATGCCTGCCCTTGTTTGCTCCTGTGTGCCCCTCATATTCATTTTCAAAGTGTTATTCTGGGTTGCTGGCAGTGACATCAGCTGCCCCAGGGCTGTGCCATGCAGGTATTTGCAAGAGTTCTGTAGACTCCAGGCTGGACCAGGAAGCCCTCAGACTATTGCTGCCTTATGCAATAACAGGAATTTGAAATGGTAAGCACCCTTAATGAATGAGACAATGTTGAACCATTTACATGCTTGCACGCTATTACAAATACAGAAATACCCACCACGCTATTACAAATACAGAAATACCCACCAATGCCTCATAAAGATTTACCTGTAAAGGACACAACATACTATGGTTTCAAATAGAGCGACATCTTGCAAGAGTAGTAATAATTAAAATGCTCTCTGCATTTTTCTGGCTACTCCAGAATTCCTGTTAAATATCTCAACATGTTAAGATGTTAGAAGTGGCTGAGATTTCTAAAGAAAGTGGGTTTGGGTACCTGACAGGAGGCCCTGATAGAGGTGAATGATTTTCATGTGATGCAGCTCCCTCCTCTCTGCAATTTGAGTCTATTAAGCAAAGCACCTCAGATTACCAGTCACCCTTCAAAGTCCTGGCTGTGCATCACCACAGCACAAATTTCATAAAGAGAGGAAAAACTTCAGCATCACAAATATGTAAATAGGCCCAATAAATTTGGTCCTAGGATTTGTCTTTTAAAGTCAGAAAACTATTACTGCCAGCCTCTTTGCAGGGGCTATAAGAGATAATTATTTTCCCCTGTAATGGTTCTGACATAACGCGTGTATCAAAAACTGCATACTCTTCATATCCATCCAGCTGTGTTAAGCAATAAACATGATAATTATGCAGATAAGGCTTAAATAAATTCCTATACCTAAGGGCAGCCGAATGCTTTTTTAAGCAAAACAATAATTAACCCTCCATAGGGCTGAATGAGCACAGACCTTTGCTCCTTCCCAAGGTGGGAAACCTGCATCCTTGCACCTGCCAGACATCTGTCATAGCTATAAATGGGTCAGTCTACTTCAGAGAAAACAGCTCCAGGGCTCTTCTTGTGAGGTTCCAAAAGAGGTCAAGAACAACAAGATCTACTAGCTTCTCTATCCTGACGCTGGGATTTGAGGTGTTTCAGACAAATGTCAAAGGAATTGCAGGGAAAGGGAAAGAGCATAAAACGCCAGTGGAATTGCTCACTGAAAAACAAAGAGGAGGCATGAGCTCAGCAGTAAATGAAGACTCTTGCATTAAACTGAGAAGCTTAAGGGCTCAGAACTATGATCAAGCTATTGCAGTGTTAACGAGTTACCACACATTGGCTGATCTGCAGTAACTGCTCATATGCACACTAACATCAAAGATGAAGATGTGTTTATCTTAACATCTTTCATTAAGTTGAGGCCAATATGCTTTGCTTTGCATCTGTAACAAGCTGAGCATCTATATGAATTACTGCTGGTTGAAGCCTGTAAACTGTGCTGATGGGTAGCTCTGGTCTGATAGCATAAGCAAA